TTAAGCTTAACATCATCTGTATTAGACTAAGAACAAATGAAAATAGGATGATATCTTTATATAATGAAAGGAAAATGCTATCTTCTGAAGCATATTTTTAGAAAAATAGTAAGTTCAAATTCAATGGAAACATACTTCAATTCACCAGAACTATTGTAACTAATTTCATTCCAACATATTTATACAAGGTGCATGATATAAGAGACACAACAGTCAAAAACCATAAAAAAAAGCAAAACGTGGCCATTTAAGATAGGGTTACATGGAAGAAATAACATTCTACTATGAAACATCCACCTAATGATAACATTGTACTTTGAAAAATCAACTCAACTCTTGCAATAGAAGCGAAAATTGGTTTGTATTTCACTGACATTTCTATAAATATGTAGATTTTTAAAGTACAATGCTATAATTTGAATAAATAAAGATATGATGCAATAACAAACAAATAAAATTACATTGCTATTTCCTCAAATTAACTCTTAAAAATGGGTTTTCAAATACTGAAAATCAATTTGAAATGCAGTTAGGTCATGATATACCCTTATCCCCTTGATTGTTTTTTTATCAAATTTTATTTAGTTTGTTATATTTACACCAATATACCCTACTTCCATTATCATAAGTGGTGAAAGCTTTAGTCATGTAGGCTTATTAACCCAAAAATACAACATATAAATCACACACACCAAATACCTTGTTTAAAACTACAAAAACAATATTAGAATGTGAAATTATTCAAAACATACTCAACCACCAATGCAAGAGCTGTTGAACAATGAGAAATCTGAAGGATCTTGTATGCTCAAGTATCATATTAAAGTGATATTGCTAATTAACATATGATACTAATGGGTCACACTAACAACAACTTGATATAATTGATTATTTATTAGAAATTGATTTTAATAAATATTCAATAAACTATTATAATTAATTGGAAATTATTTATTTCATGGAAATAATAATTTTCATTAGCAAGTAACATAATATATCATAATGTATGATTTATTAAGTCATGTACACCTTTTTCGACTAGAAAGACTTTTGTCTTTTAGCTAAAGGGATTATGTTTATATCTTATAAAGGCTTAAAGGAAATTTTATAAAATTTTTGTCTTCTTTCTTTCATATTTTCGAAATTAAGAATGAGGGGGAAAATAATTGATTTCTTTTGATTTGTTTATTATAAGAGACATGCTTTAGAAGCATGTCTTGGGTGATATAATAAACTATAGGCTTTTGAGGTCTAGAAAAGGCTAAAAGTACCAAGACTTAATGGTTAATGTTTTGGCTTAAAGGCTTGCCTTTTGCTTCTTTTCTTATGTATGCAAACCGTAACATGAAGAGTAAAGTAAGACTCTCACACTTTTGTTCATCCTTTTGAAGAAAATTGCTTCTTAACTCTCTCTTTAAGTTCTTATTTTGATAAGAACATAAAGCTTAAGAGTCTTAAGAGTTTTATACAAAAGAACTAGCATTCTACATCAAGTTGAGTCATTGTTGGTGTCTCTTAAGTTCATCATTCTTTATCAACTTCCAAGCCTGCCAAGAAGACCCAAAGAACTACAAAGATTGTTATTTCTTCATCTCTTCCTTGGTTGGTGTTTAAATCTTTCTATAATTTGCAAGATGATCATTGGTGGGTTGTAACTTGTTTATTATGTTCAAAAATTTAAGTCTTCCATTTGCCAAATTTATAAGTTTATGAAACTAATTTTGAATAAAAACCCAACAAAATCTTGTTCTTTCTTCCTTAAGAATTTCAACATAACTATTACAACAACAACAAAAAACATCAAATGAAGCTGCTTCTTTTTTGGTATATTTATCAAAAATTATGCATATGATCACATACAAATTGGATTACATTTGATCATAATGTCATATGGAAGACAAATACATGATAGATGATCTGAAAAATAGTTACCTTAAACTTAGTAACAATGGAGAGGAGCAAAATGAAGAAACAACATGATTCTCAATATCTCCGAAACATGCCACTGTAAATTGCCATCAATTTCGCTTCACTTGCACAACTTTGTAAATATATCGTTTATGAAGGGTAGAGCTGGAGACTATATTTTAGACCACTATATCCAAAAAATTGAGAGAAATACATGTATAATTTACCTAAAAAAGATTAGGCAAATCGATATAAACAAATTGTTGGATGAAATTGTGGACTTGGAACCGAAGCTTAATTAAATGACAAAATAAGATGTTCTTAGAACCGAAGCAAGAATCCTAAATTTTAAACCCACAAAGATTAAAACAAAAAAAGATTAAACTTACCGTTAGCACCTGATAATCGTCTCTAAATCAAAACAACTTCGTCAAATAAGAAGAACGCATTGGCAGGAAAAAGGCCATGGGAATCCATTCGTTAACCCAAATATATATATATATATATATATATATATATATATATATATATATATA